GAGGGATGGACACTGGGAAGAGGTAACTATGGGGAGGAAGTGGGAGGGGAGCTGTTGCATTGTGGTAAACTGTGGTCAATGTCATGAGACAAAGTGCATGTGAACTGCTGTAAGGAAAGTGAATTTGCTCTGTAAATCTTCACCCAAATCACAATGAAAAATAAATAAATAAATAAATAAATAATAATAAAAAAAACCAATTCAATATGAGTCCTCAATCACATCCACGTGGACATAAGAACTTTCAGAGATGCATATGTTTCAACTTGTTTTATTATTTTTCCCAATTCCTGTGCTCCATCTACCATTCTCAATCACTGCCAGGAGGCTTTTGCCTGATGTTGGCTCCTTGCTCACTTAAATGTCCTTGGAATTTTGCGTTTTAGGGATTTAGAATTGCCTTTTCCTAATGTACCTGATAGAACTTTGACATTAACTTTGATATCCTAGCACAGGAATATGTTTTCATGAAGAAGTGGCTTTAACAGCAAGATGAAAATGATGGTATACTGATAAAAACATTTGACAAGATAAGCATGTAATTTTTATTAGTGCCCAAGACAGCATGTGAAGGCTCTTAATCCAGACTGATTGAAGATCTGGCATTTCACAGGCCAGTTTTGTTTGTTTAAAACCTTCTTTTTAACTATTAAATTATTAGGTGATCAAAAATTTAGAGCTATAAATTTAAAGTATGAGAAATATGTATCCATGGCAGGAAAAAAATACAGGAAAGTAGATGTTTGCCAAAGTACACAAATGAATGAACAATACTTAAAGTAGAGAAGAATCTGGTAAAAGACTTTTTAAAAAAATTACCATGTCTCTGAGAATCTTACAAAGGCCACAGATGGTAAATATGAATTCAATTATTAACGTTTTGATTTTTGAAAATTTTCCTTCCAGTTCTAAGGCTTATATATTTTAAATAAATCGTTGCTCAGATTTTTACTATAGATTTTCATTTAGCCAACTAATATACTGATTTTCTGTCTTATATCCAACTTTAAATTCATAAAAGGAAAGAACTCCATGGAATCCATCATCTATGTGGTTATGGGTCACCTGAACTCCAGCATTCCGAAGTCGGGTGACATACATGATGCCATCATCTCTTAAGACATCATATTGACAGGTGATGATGTAAGTCAGGGGTAAACCATGCAACTTTTTGTCATCAGCCAGCAAGGGTGCAGCTCTCACATCTAGGAAGCCAGGATATTTTTTAGCCAGTTCAGAATTACCAAGAGTTGTTGGACTGCTATAGAAGTGCCCTTTCTTAAACTTCTCAGGGAGCAAGGAACTCCAATTAACAAACTTGAACAGGTGGCTTGATTCCACTGGAACATGTTGTTTGGAGAGCATGTTTTTTTCAAGAGACCTGTCTGTAGTAAAGTATTCCCCCCACAACCTAACTGTGAGTGATTTACTCAGAACTGGAAAATGTGCATTTTCTTTATATGATGGCAAATCCATATCAAGAGCCTGAAGAGCAGGGTATATTAGAGCCTGAATCTTGAGTTTGATCTTGACATTTGGATCATCTAAGAGCTGAAAAAGAATTTAAAATAAATTGTTAAAATGTCACTCAAAACAGAATAAAAAGTTAAAAAACAACAATTATTTTGATTTAAAAACTATAGATTGCCACAAGAAAAATTAAAAATGGCAGATAATCAGAAATAATATGAAGTATATCTCAAAAACTTTTCCAATGTTCACAGTTATATCTTTATAATTTAATGTAATTTCTAAATATGTATTTATAATTATAAGAACTTTTAATAATTATAGAAATAACTATAAATATAATTTGTTTGAATATTTTTTTAAGTATTGTTGTTGTTGTTATGTGCCATCAAGTGAGACTTGACTCATAGTGACCCCTCCTAGGGTATCACTACAGTAGTAGATTGCCCAACCTTCCTTCTGAGGAGTGGCTGGTGGGTTTGAACAACCAGCCTTCTGATTAGCAGTCTAGTGACTTAGGCACTACACTACCAGAGCTCCTTTTTAAGTATTAAGTACTATAATTAAATACTTTACACATAAACAAAATGATTTACACTACTCCTCATAAGCAGTGAAAGAAATCATCTACTCAAGCAAGTATGGCAACCAGAAAATGTAGCTTTGTTTTAGTTTTAATTATTTATTAAAATATTATGTACCTATCTTATTATATCAATAAGCATTAATGTTCACCAGAAGGGTCATGTAACTGAGAATTCCAATTTGGCTCTGACACTGAGCAGAATGCCCTTGGGTAAGGCTTAGAGCCCCACTGTGACATGTGTGATGTACATGGTTTGGTATTGATTTTTAAGCAATAGTATTTCAGGTCTTTTCTTTTACATATATAATCATCCCTACCCACCAGCCACTCCTCAGAAGGAAGATGGGGCAATCTACTTCAGTAGTGATACTGCCTTGGAAACCCAAGGAAGGGTCGCTATGAGTCGGGGCGACTCCACGGCAAACAACACAACAACAACACCTCTTAACCTACAGCTTTTTTCATTAAATTTCAATTATATGTATGTTATTATTTTAGAAGCTGTGGTAGCATAGTACCTAAGGTACTTGACTGCTAACCAGAAAACTGGTGGTTCAAACCCACCAGCCACTCCTCAGAAGGAAGGCTGGGCAATCTACTTCCGTAGTGATACTGCCTCAGAAATCCAAGGAGGGGTCACTATGAGTCGGTCCAACTTGATGGCACATAACAACAACAACAACATGCTATTATTTTAAACTATCCAAGTTAATGAAGGTTCTGCACATTTACCACATTCCTTTGTCTTCGCTACTTCTTGCATCTTCAATATTTTATCCGCATTTTCATTTTGTCTGAGCTTTCTTTAGAATATCTTTTAGTGTATTCCATTACATTAAAATCAAACTTTTAGTTTTAGTTTATCTGAATATGTCACTATTTCTTCTTTATTCTTGATAAGATTTTTCTGTGACATAAAATTAGTTTGGAATTTTCTCCCAGCATTTTGAAAATATCGTTTCACTGGCTTGGGACTTACCTTTTTGCTGTTGAGAAGTAATTTGTGAGTATGACTTGTGCATCTGTGAAGATATTCTCTTTTTCCTGTGACTGTCTTAAGACTTTATTTCTTTCTGTTCTATTTTGTGTTTTTGCTTTTTGGTTTGCTATATTGTTGCTTTGCTATGTCTAAACATAGATTTCTTTCCTATTTATTTATTTTTTATTAACTTTTAAAAATGTTAATAAGGGTTAATAGGTCCTTTTTAAGCTGTGGTTTGATTTTTTTCATAGATTCTAGAAAATATTCAGCTGCAATATTTATGAATTTTTGTTTCTTGTATTATCTTCCCTTTCTTGGTGGGACAATATTCAAAGCTCTATTGGACTCTCAAACTGTATACTCTATATCTTTTACCCTCTTCCTAGATTTTCTATCAGTGCTTCACTCTGTATAGTTACTTATGATTCAAAATAGACCATCTTTCAATTTTTAAACTAGTTGTATAGGATCGATTAAAACATGCATTGTTTTAATTTTGATCTTTTTAATTTTTAGCTTTAAAATTTCTCTATTAATTTATTTTTCTAAACATATGTGTCTTCTTTTGTAGCTTCCAATTTTGTGCTAAAATTTGCAATCTTGATTCTGATTCTTCAGAAAGAAGTAATACACCTATATGTATCTATCCATACTCTGTGTCAATAATGCTAACATTTTAATTTTTGTGGAGTGTCGTTTATTGATGACACACCATTTGCATAGATAAACTTGACTGTGTACCAGACATTCAATTAAAAAAAAATTGAGTAATAATTTAACATCTAAAACGACGCTATATTTCTCCAGAGAGAATTTTGACTTGCTTTCTCAAGCACACAGGAGTGATAATTGTTTACCTCACACCTTACTTTAAGTTCAAGGCCAAAATTCCCCAACCATCCAGATAATGTGAAGTAAAACTCTAAATGCATGTCAGGTTTATTTTACATTAGGTTGGCCCTGCGAGCATATCTCTTCAGGGTTATGTTTAAAGTACAGAGTACTTTATGAGCAATCCTATGTTTGGGACACACACAGATATATACACACACAGCACATACCCACATACACACAGAGGAGCTCTGGTGGTGCAGTGGCTAAGACATTTGGTTGCTAACCAAAAGGTTAACAGTTTGAAGCCACCAGTTGCACTAATGGAAAAAGATGAGGCAGTCTGTTTCCATAAAGATTTACAACTTTTAAAACCCTATGGGGAAGTTCTACTCTGTGTTATAGGGTCCCTGGGTGAGGAAGTAGTGTCAGGGATACAGGTAAAGCCGAGGACGAGGCCACAACACTCCCAACTGATGGGAAAGTTGGGGAAAGCAGAGAAAAAGCTGGGGGTTGGGGAAACCAAGACAGAGAGAGGAAGCAGAGGCAGTGATCTAGGTAAGGCTGGGGACCCAGACCACGGCCCTGCCAAGCAGTGGGAAAGAGGCAGGGATCTATGTAAGGGGAACTGGGGAGGGTGGAGAGGTTTTGAACAGGTAAGGGAGACAAACTTGCTTATCAGTTTGTCCTACTGTGGTGGTGTGTTGCTGTGAGGCTTGATGCTGTGCCATTGGTGTCTCGAACCCAGTAGGCTTGCACATGGTACACAGGTTTCAACAGTTTACAGACTGAGACAGACTAGGAAGAAGGGGGAGGCCATACACTTCCCAAAGTATTGGCCAGGAAAAACATTAAGAATAGCAGAGAAACACTGTCTGATACATTACTGTGGAACTTCATGAATAGCCCAGAAACAATTGTCTGATAGAGTGCAGGAGGATAAGTCACTTAGGTTGGAAAGCTCTCAAAATAGGACCAGGAAAGAGCTGCATCATCAGAGTAGAACCAGCCTTAATGATATGGATACGGTAAAGTTTCTGACACCTCCATTTGCTGATGTGGCACAACTCAAATTGAGGAGAAACAGCTACAAACATCCATTAATGATCAGAACATGGAATGTATGAGGCATGAATCTAGGAGAATTGGAAGTTGTCAAAAATGAAATGGAGCACATAAAGTTTGATATCCTAGACATTAGTGAGCTGAAATGGACTGGTCTTGGCCCTTTTGAATCAGACCAGTATGTGGCCTACTATTCCAGCAATAATAATTTGAAGAGGAATGGCATGGCATTCATCATCACAAAGGATGTTTCAAGATCTGTCCTGAAGTACAATGCTATCAGTGATAGTATAATATCCATATGCCTACAAGGAAGATCAGTTATATGACTATTATTCAAATGTATGCACCAGCTACCAAAGCCAAAGATGAAGAAAGTGAAGATTTTTATCAGCTTCTGCAATCTGAAATTGACCGAACATGCAATCAGGATTTGTTAATTTTCACTGGTGACTGGAATGCAAAAGTTGGAAACAAAGAAGAATCACCGGTAGTTGGAAAATTTGGCTTTGGTGACAGAAATTGATGTGGAAATTGCATAGTAGAATTTTGCAAGACCAACAACTTATTCATTGCAAATATCTTTTTTCAACAACACAAACAGCAGCTATACATGTGGACTTCATCATATGGAATACACAGGAATCAAATTCACTACATCTGTGGTAAGAGGCAATGGAAAAGCTCAGTATCTTCAGTCAAAACCAGGCCAGGAGCTGATTATGGAACAGACCATCAAACTGCTCATATGCAAGTTCAGATTGAAGTTGAAGACAGTTAAAACAAGTCTACAAGAGCCAAAAGATGATCTTGAATATATCTCTCCTGAATTTAGAGCTAAAGAATAGATTTGATGCATTGAACACCAATGACCAAAAACCAGAATTGTGGGATGACATAAAGAACATTATCCATGAAGAAAGCAAGAAATCACTAAAAAGACAAGAAAAGAAGAAAAGACCAAAATGGATGACAGAAGAGACTGAAACTTGCCCTTGAGGTAAGAGTAGCTAAAGCAAATGGAAGAAATGACAAGATTAAAAGAGCTGAACCAAAGATTTCAAAGAGCAGCTTGAGCAGACAAAACCAATTACTACAATGAAATGTGCAAAGACTTGGAGTTAGAAAGCCAAAATAGAAGAACATGCTTGGCATTTCTCAAAATGAAAGAATTGAGGAAAAAAAATTAAGCCTCAATTTGCGATATTAAAATATTCTATGGGAAAATATTGAATGATGCAGGAAGCATCAAAAGAAGATGGAAGGAATACACAGAGTCACTGTACCAAAGAGAACTGGTAGATCTTCTTCATCCATTTCAGGAGGTCCCATATGATCAATTGACAATGGTATTGAAAGAAGAAGTCAAAGCTACACTGAAGGAAGTGGCTAAGAAGAAGGCTCCAGGAATTGACAGAATACCCATTGAGATGTTGCAACAAACAGATACCCCACTGGAGGCACTCATTTGATTATACCAAGAGATTTGGAAAACAGCTACATGGCCAACTGACTGAAAGAGATCCATATTTGTACCCATTCCAAAGAAAGGTGATCCCACAGAATGTGGAAATTATCAAACAATGTCATTAATATCGCATGTAAGTAAGATGTTATGAAGATTATTTAAAAACGATTGCAGCAGTATATTGACAGAGAACTTCCAGCAGTGCAAGCTGGATTCAGAAGAGGATGTGGATAAAAGGTTAGCATCGCTGCTGTCAATTGGATCCTGGCTCAAAGCAAAGAATACCAGAAAGATATTTACTTGTGTTTTATTGACTATGCAAAGGCATTTGATTGTGTAGATTATAACAAATTGTGGATAACATTGAGAAGAATGGGAATCCCAGAACACTTGATTGTGCTCATGAGGAACGTGTACATTAAACCAGGAGGCTGTTGTTCAAACATGACACTGCTTGGTTTAAAATCAAGAAGGGAGTGTGTCAGGGTTGTACCCTTTCCCCTTATTATTCAATCTGTATGCCAAGCAAATAACCTGAGAAGCTGGACTATATGGCATCAAGATGGGAGGAAGAATCATTAACAACCTATGATATGCTGATGACACAACTTTGTTTGCTGAAAATGAGGATTACTTGAGGCACTTACTGATGAAGATTGAAGAATACAGTGTGCAGTATGGATTATATCTCAATATGAAGAAAACAAAAATCCTCACAGATGGACCTATAAGCAGCATCACGATAAATGGAGAAAAGATTGAAGTTGTCTAAGACTTCACATTGCTTGGTTCTATAACTGATGGTAATGGAAGCAGCAGTCAGGACATCAGATGACGTATAGCACTGGGGAAATGGGCTGCAAGGGACCTTTTTCAAGTGCTGAGGAGCAAGGATGTCTCCTTGAGGACTAAGGTGCACCTGGCACAAGCCATGATATTTTCAATGACCTCCTATGCATGTGAGATATGGACAATGACTAAGGAAAACTGAAGAAGAATTGATGCTTTTGCGTTGTGGTGTTGGTGAAGAATGCTGAAAGTACTGTTGACTGCTGAAAGAACTAATAGGTCTGTCCTGGCGGAAGTGCAGCCAAAATACTCCTTGGAAATGAGAATGGCCAGATTTTGTCTCACCTACTTTGGTCATGATGTCAGAAGGGACCATTCCCTGGAGAAAGATGTCATGCTTGGTAAAGTGGAAGGTCAACGAAAGATGGGAAGGCCGTCAGTGAGATGGATTGACACAGTGGTTGCAATGATGGCCTCAAGTATAGCAAGGGTCATGGAGCTGGCTTGGGACTGGGCTTTGTTTTGTTCTGCTGTGCATAGGGTCACTATGAGTTGGACACGACTGGAAGGCACCAAACAACAACAGCATGAGTTAGAAAGGACTGAATGGCAGTGAGTTTCCCTTGGGAAGAGCCCTGGAATTTTGTTTTCTATCTCCAGCTGTGAGATGCATTCAAAAGCTTTTATTGGTTGAATAGTTTCCTCTTCAATAACATTTGTCTTTAGTGTAAGAAGTTCTGGTGGTGCAGTGCCTAAGGCATTTGACTGTTAACAAGAAAGTTGGTGATTCACACCCACCAGCCTCTCCACTGAAGGAAGATGGGGCAATCTACTTCCCTAAAGATCTACCCTAGGAAGCCCAATGAGGGTAGCTATGAGTTGGAATTGACTTCAAGTCAATGTTGGTTTTGATGCTGGGGTCTTGAGTACATGGACTATTTTTGTGTATTTTATTTATTTTTTGCCCTTTTAAAATTTTGGCCTAGATATTTCTCTTATTTTTGTTAGCTCTTTGATGCTTTACAGAACATTATAAGCTATTTTATCCAGAATTTTAAAAATTATTCCTCAGAGATATCTGATTCACTGTTATAGAAACCTGGGCTACATAAGAAGAGATCTTATTAGGAAAAACAGTGAAAAGAAATTGCTCTTTGAAGAGATAAACTAGTTTATCCAAGGCCACAAACTGGACAATGAAAAAGCTCCAAAACCCAATGTCTCTGTGTAGTTTATACTGAAGCATGATGCCTTTCAGAGTCACAATAAGTAGACAATATAAAACTCAACTTCTGAGAAATAGCAGATATCTACCTGTCCTACAGCATGCTTACAATAAACCACAGAAATGACTTCTTCTGTTTGGCTAGAAATCATGAGAAGTTTAGCCTAAATGTGCCAATACCCAAAATTTAAACTTAAAAAAGTATATACAAATGAATAATAAAATAAGTAAATATAAATAAATGATAGGTTTGTTTTATAGAATGATGTGGAATTTATGATTAATGTCAGCTATTAAATTTCAGACATGAATTTGCAATGCCTCTAAGAATTTGGTTTGTTTCCTACAGGAGCATTGTTTCTACACTATTAATGCCTGATTTATTTCTTAAGTCAAATAACTAGCACAAGAGACAATTTAACCCATAACGTGGTGGGCTAATTATAAAGTACAAAATAAACTGGTAGCTAATAAAACAACAACAACAAAAAAAAACCAAACTCATTGTTGTCGAATCAATGCAACTCAAAGTAGTTGTCTACGTTTATCTAAAAATCAAAGTAATGGTATAAATAACTATCATCTTAAAATTATAAATCTTTCTGCAAGTAAAAGATGTCTGTGATATGGATCAGGTTTAATTGTGTCCCCAAAAACTATGTGTTGAAGTCCTAACCTCTGAACTTGTGAATAAGATCTTGTTTAGGGAAATAGAATTTTTCTTTGCAAATGTTATCAATTTAGTTAAAGAACTTACACTGCAGTGGAGTGTGTCCTAACCCTATTCCATTCAGATTGGTACCTTATAAAATAGGAGGACAGGTATAGAAATAGGGTCACACAGAGGGAAGGCAGTATTTGAGGGTCCTTCTACAAGTGAAAGAAAGTCAACAATTGCCTGGCACTGCTAGAAGCTGAAAGAGAGGAGGAAGAAATTTCCCTAGGGCAGAAAGAGAAAGAGAGAGTGTTAACTACTGATGATCCGAATTTGGGTTTCTAACCACCAGAACTATTAGAAAATACACTTCTGTTCTTTAAAGCTACCCAATTTGGGCTGTTTTTTGTTATGTTAGCCCTAGAAAACTGTGGCATGTAGGCCATTTGGTTGTTCTTTTAACAAAATCTTAAGCTACACTGCAGAACACTGGAATCATCTGATTCTCTAGTTGTGGTGATTGGTGTCAATGATTGCTTTCACAAATACAATCCCTAACATAACCAAACGGGGGATTTTAACTGAACATAAAATCATGTATAAAGCAATGATTTTTATCAGTTATTACAGAAAAAGAAAGAAAGAAACATGGCAGGAGATACAGCTAGAAGCATTAGATAAATAAGTGTTCTCTAGTATATATATATATATATATATATATATAAAAGAACATATTTTGTGGGTTTTTGAATGCTTGAAAAAAATATGGGTAAGTGTAGAGTTTTTTTAATAAAATAGAACTGAGTATCATACCTGTTGAGCCACTGCTGCAGCTAAATTCCCACCAGCACTGTCTCCAGAAATACCAATTCTTTCAGGATTTACACCATATTTTTCAAGAACATCTTGGCGTAGGAACCACATTAATGAATTATAGACATCTTCAAATTGAATTGGAAAATGATATTTGGGTGCTAGTCTGTAGCTGTGAGCAGAATAACAATGTTTTAAGTTAATTGTTTTTAATACAAAAATATATGCCACTCCTCGGAAGGAAGGTTGGGCAATCTACTTCCATAGTGATACTGCCTCGGAAACCCAAGGAGGGGCTGCTATGAGTCAGGTCTGACTCGACAGCACATAACAACATATGCCTTTTGTACGTATGTGTGTGTGTTTAAAAGTGTTTGCTCAAAGTCTAACATCAAAAGTAAACTTTTGCTATAGCAAACTGATACATTGTGTCATGATGAATCCAAAGATCAACTTCATCCTTATGATGATGCTCGATATTCAAACTTTTGCTAATGTTATTTTTTATGTAAGTAAACACTTTAATGCAGTACTTAGGCTGTCCAGGAGTAGGGGGCACTTTAGCTGATATTCCTAGCTATATTTCTCTCAGAGTGCTATTTTGTTTGTAATCATTGCTTTATTAGTAACCAACAAATGGCAATAGGAGTATTGGTGGCTCAGTGCTTAAAGATCTTGGCTACTAACCAAAAGGTTGGCAGTTTAAATCCACCAGCCACTGGAGGAGAACTGCTCCCTTGAAGATTTACAGTCTTGGAAACTCTATGAGGCAGTTCCACTATGTCCTATAGGGACTCTACGATTTGGAATTGATTGAATGGAAATGGGTTTGACTGTGATTCTTTTAAGAAATGGAAAATACATTTCAAGAATTATTCTATTCCAATTATTCTAGTAATCAGGATGACATACTGTGATAGTTAGAGCTGTGTGTCAACTCGGCTGAACCCCAGTTCTGTGTGGTTGTGCCCATGATCGGATTGGATGACTGTGTTCTGAGTGGCCAATCTGCCCAAGGGGAGTTTCCCTAGGGGTATGGCTTGCTTCCAGGATATCCAGGGACATCCTGGGAAGAGAGACATTCTTTTGTGGATGGGGACCCTGGTGTGCTGACTACAACCTTATATGAGTGAGCAGCCCACGTCTCGGCCTGGAGATCTTGGATTTGTCTTTTGTTGGAGTCAACAACCAGTGTACTGCCTGCCAGCCTTGAATTTCTCAGACCCCTGCGGTTGCGGAAGCTAAGGCTGCCGCCAGCCCGATGTTTCCTCCAGGGACTTTGGACTTGCCAGCTTCTATACATTTGTGAGCCATTTTCCTAAGATAATTTCTCTCTCTCTCTCTCTCTCTATATATATATATAAGCTTTGCTGGTTTTTGTTTCTCTAGAGAATCCAGTCTAACACACATACAGTCACAGCTATGTTTTTATCTTAGTTTCTTCATTTTTATACCTATTTTCATTGAGTTTCTTATCATTGATTATTGATCTAGAGTGCTCTCTGATAGAATTTTATTTGTATTTCCATATGTAATTTTCTGAGTAATTGCTTTAGTATAGGATTCTTCTATGACATACACTGTGATAATCACTTTAAATGTATTTTCTTATACATCATCCTCAAAAAAAAAAAATTGAAAAAATTGGAAACAAATAGAAATAATCCTTGCATATAATAAAACTGGGAGCTCTGGTAGCAGAGTGGCTAAGGCACTTGACTGCTAACCAGAAGGCTGGCGGTTCAAACCCACCAGCCACTCCTCGGAAGGAAGATGGGGCAATCTACTTCCGAAGTGATACTGCCTCGGTAACCCAAGGAGGGGTCACTATGAGTCGGGTCTGACTCGACGGCACATAACAACAACATAATAATAAAACTAATTAATATCACTTAACTGACATTTTAAAATGTTGAAATGCAACATTTTTATTATGCCACTCCTCGGAAGGAAGGTTGGGCAATCCTACTTCCGAAGTGATACTGCCTCGGAAACCCAAGGAGGGGTCGCTATGAGTCAGGGCTGACTCGACGGCACATAACAACAACAATCATATACATATATGATACATATAAATGCACATACACACCCCACCATAAGAAAATTAGAAAACAAAACAAAACAATATTCTATGATTCTTAGTTTACACTAAACTGAGCTGGTGATATTATTTGATTTGCTCAAAGTAACTCACATAATCTTTGAACCAGGATTTGATCCTGATTCTCTGACTCAGAAGCCTTTATTCTTAATCAAGAATTAAGAGCTCAATAGGAATTCAGTGAAGATAATTATGTTCAGGAGATACAATTACCTAATTTTGTTCAAACAATTTCTAGAATTTTTACTTTTGGATTCATTCTTTAACTATATCTCTGACTCTCTTCTGGTTGCGCTCAAGCTCACTTTCTCTGTTCTCATCCACTTGATTTCATATGGGACAGCCCTGAAACAGCCAAGCAATGACTGGGAAAGCTGATAGCACCTGACATGAAACCAAACAAACATGTTCTTACTTGGTTGATACAACAACAGCATCAAGTCTATCAGCTGTCCTCCTTGACAGAAAGTCATAATTGAATATAGCTGAAATAAAAGGAAACAGAATCAGAATATTAATGATAAATGAATCAATGGGTGTTTCTTCATCAGAAAGCCTATTAATCACACTTTGTTCCTCAACGAAATAGAAGAATATTTCAAAGTTCCATCATAGGTAGGGTATGTGAATTATTTTGTCCAGAGAACTTTCATATGTTCATGATGAGCTTTCTCACACTTCCCAACATTTTCACAATGAGTCATTTAAGCTAAATTTTTCAGTAGATGTCAAGTTTTAAAGTACAAACAAGGAATTATTAACTCACTGACTTCAAGCAATTCAGTCTACTAAAGAGGTTAGGAGGGAGGGGCAAGTACATAAGCCAAAAACAATAATGCAGGACATTAATAATTTAAAAGAGTGGTACAGAAAGTGCTGTGTGAGAACAATTTAAGATGCCAAGAAACTGCAATTAAGAGATAGGGAAGCATAAACAGAGGAAATAGTAAAGAGCTGAGATTTGATCTATGTATTCATATTTTCTAGACAGACAAGAAGGAGTGCTTTGGATTTGGTTTTGGTATTTATTTGGGGTAGGGATGGACCATACATGTTTTCCATGGGATTGGCTAATTGATACATTTATGAATAAGAACATTTTTAAATATATGAAATTTGTCAGTAACAAGAGGTGGGAGTAATCATCAAGGAAGGGCTAAAGGAAAAATATCAGGATTTTTTTTTCCCTAAAGAAAGACTAAATATTGGTAAGGAAGAAGTCAAACTATCCCTATTTCCTGATGATATGATCATATACCTAGAAAACCCAAGAGACTCAGTCAAAAATCTACTGAAACTAATTGACAGATTTAGCATTGTGGCAGGATATAAGATCAACATCCAAAAATCAGTTGGATTCCTCTACACCAGCAAAGAG